GATCTAAACCTCAAGTAGCTTTCTTGTACGATGATATGTCCTTGATCTTTTCTGACATCCGCCATCTCATTACCACGCACTTGTCCATTCGTAGAAGTTAGTAAAACATTTTTTGACGTAGATTATCTTATTCTAATCTATAAGTCTAAGTATTTTCTGCAAAACTCAATAGCTGGTGATTGCATCCCATTAAACTTTATTATCTGAAGGATAAAAATATATAGATAAACTAACAAAGAAATTCTAATGTTAAACCAAATAAATTTAGAGGTACGGCTGGAAATAAATACGGTAGCAACATATAATATAAATCAAGATAGCATTAACACTATTAATAATATATAAATCATCCAAAAAAAAAGGTAAATGCAGTGTTCGATTTATTTATAGGACAGCGTTATTTGAGAGACGCTACACGATTACCTTCATGTTTTTTATTCAAACACTCTATTTACCTTTCATTGATGATTTATATATAATTTAACAGTATTAACGGCTATCTTGACTTATATATAGATATGTATATATATTATATATAGGCCTATATATAATAATAATAATAAACAAATATTTGTTATGCGTCATTTTCAAAATAAATGATCGAAGGCGTGAAAGTATACATATAGTAACAGAGTAGATTAGATGGATTGAAATAGATGAGTTTTTAAATTAAGTTTAAATTAATTCAAGGAGGGTGAGTTTTTGACAGACAACGGTAAGTCGTTCCACAGAAATGAGGCAGAAAAGCAAAGGTTCATTGGCCATATGATTTTAATTTGACGGTGGGGACAGTGAGAAGACTGTTATTTGCTGATATCATCATGATATAATAGAGATTAGGTATAAACCGTCTTGTGGTAATACTATATAATTCATAAATTTTATTTCAAAACTCAAAAAGTCTGGCCCAGTTGGTTAAGGCGTCTGCATAAACAGCAGAAGGTTCCGGGTTCGAATCCCGGTTAGTGCACTTGTATGTTTGACCCTCACATATTCTTCTTTAACGTTCAAGATTAAAAATAATAGAGACACTCTAAAATTCATTGGAGTAGGCCTATATTATGAGCGAGTATTCGAGCTGTTCAGCGTTAAGCCTGTGGATTCCAAGCGATAAAAGGCTCAGGCCTACAACAAATGCATGTTGTTGGTATATTACTCAGTTGAAGATAGACAGAGTCTCGCTCCAACCCTAACCTTAAAAACTATTGAACAGCAACATCTTATGTGGGCGGGAATTAATGGGAAAGTTAGGGAGAGCAGGTTTGGAGAATAATTTGTTTGCTTCATTGCCCACTAATTTACCCCATGATGTCATATGAGTATGCCTCTGTTGAATGTAGTCGCCTTAATTTCAAACGTTTAACAGCTCGAATATAGGATGATAAAGCAATGACTTACCCAGTGGTGCACTTTCCACAGGCGTGTGGACAATTTTGTGTCATGGATGCGAATGTTGGATCATTACAAACTGACTTATAACCCATGCAATATGCTGCGTCCGGTGAGGCACAGTCAACTGTTAAAATAGAAATCAAATATTGGTCTAACTTACGGGTAAATCCAGTCATGTGTAGTCGGAATGGATTGGCGGTTAAAATACTAGCTTTCCAACCGCTCTTTTTAAAACGTAGCAAAAAGAATCATTTTCTCAGTACTTGAACACTTTTAAAACAACATCAGTAACAACAATGACGAAAAAAAAAACAACGATAATAATAATAATAGCAATAATAATACTGTTACCACAAACGTTTTATATTAAACCATATTAAACATCTAAATTGCCTATTCAAAAGAAGCACACAGATTATTATTTTTTAAATAGATTTACAAAACAAAACAAAAAAAAAAACCAATTTTCAATGATACAGACGTTTTACTACCAACAAATTTAAGTGTATACAGTTTTTAAGACAATAAAAACAGTACAGTATTTGGCTTACTTATCTAAACGCCCGTTATTTGGTGAGAAAAACTGTTCTTTCAAATGAACAGTTTAAGGCTGATAACGTACACAGTATAACAATTAATCAAGTCATTAAAAAATATATATAAGTTGATTTACGTGGCATTAATTTCTTAACTTGGTTTAGCTTACCTGCTGCGTTTGCAGTTAATGTGTTCTCCTACATGTAAAAGAAAATGTACATTGTTGAAATGAAATACCCCTTAAACATCGCATGATAGGATAAAATAACAACATTTATGTATTTTTTCGTATTGGATATACTAGTATTGTGTTAGGAAGCCGATTAAATTGTGGAGGTAAACGAGAACACATAACAAACAAGCCATACTTGGATACCAGATCCACGTGTTTAACCACTTAAAATTAAATTGAAGAAATACGATTGTAAAGTACTAGAAACTACTGTTATATAACCATTCATATATTTCGAAATATTTCAATAATAATAATAATAATATTAAAAATAATTTATACATTTCTAATGCGCAGGTTCCATATTATGTTCAAAGTACACACAGTACATTATTATTTTGTAACTCGCAACTCGAATTTTCTAACTTGCTTTAATTAAAGAAACCACCTTTCACAACCAAATAGTCATTTCTCCTAGATGGAGAGAAAAGTAGTGAGATAAAATGCCTTCCTCAAGGACAAACAAGTAACCAGCCTCAGATTCGAACCCCGATCATGGATTGGAAACTAAGAGCCATTCCGCTGAATCGTTTGTCTCCAGCAAGTCTAAAACATTTTATATTATGGAAGTGCAGCGGTATATTTTAGGTTTCCAACCGAATGGTCATGTTTTCGAGACCTAGGCTTACTTTAGCACTTACCGGTAGGAGAACATTCAGAGCGACGACGCCCAATAAAAAGATGCACAATGCCTTTGATGTCATGTTGATCAGGAAAATAGAGCTATTGTAACGTACCTCTTCAAAATTAGTTCAGTTGTAGTTTTCAATGCATATGCATTTCGTCTTAGAAACGGTCTTTTAAAGCATATTTGTAAACATCACCAACATATGTCTGAGCATATGATTGGCCCGTTTTTTGAAATTTCTCACCTTCATATGAAAATGTTACAATGTCCCAACGCTGTAAAAAGTGCGGTCGGGCATAGAATAATTTAGAAATTAGTAGTAATTTCATCGAACTTAAGTCACAGTTACGTTTGATTTCGTTTAATTATTTTTGTACATATTTATTTATTCCAATAATCGTTAATATTTAATCGATTTAGACTTAATTTTTAGATATATAGGCCTATACAGTTATGTAAAACAGTTCTTTATTCCCTCATTGTCATTCGACACATTCGACAACTACCATCGCGTTACTTTTATCACACCGAAGTCATTTGCAAAATTTTATTATGAAACATTTGTTTAATATACAATAATATATGCGTGTGAATATACTTTAGGATATTTTTACACAAATTATATATTTTTTTGTACTTCTTTATATGAAGTCATTTTAACAACGACATTCAAACTAGATCGTGGTCGTTCTAAACTCTAACACGTCAACAAACCGTTCGTAAAACTAATGTTCTGGAAAATAACTGGCAATATACGGTAATGGCACAATAAAATATAAAAAGTTCATGGTTAGGTAAAATATTAATCTCAGTGGCGAATTTAGGAATTCGAAATAAAGGGGCCAGGGAGGTACTTTTACAGAATATGAAAGATTCAGACCACAACCTCCAACTATGTACAAAACATTATAGCTATGCCACCAGAGAGCCAGAAATGCCACATTCAGTCATAAATGTAATTATTTTCCACATTTAAACATTCCAACAGTTTAAGGGTTCTGGCTAGCTTGGCCTCTGAATTTTAGGCCTGATTTTATTCTTGTTATGTATACAAGTATATAGAGAAAACACTGGCTGAGTGACCAGGTTCTAAAAAGCTTACATCCAGTAGAAAAAGTTTCCATTTAAAAATGTTTTTTTTTTCTATAAATAGGTCTAGGCGTGCAGTTAATGTATTTATTTAAACAGAAATAATTATTATCAAAATTAGTAGTTCCGCAATCAAAAAGCGTATAATAGGAATACGTAGTATTAGTGCATACAATAAAGTGGAACGGTGGGTAGAGCGGCTCAGCAGGACTTTATACAGGCAAGTGCATCTTTGATAGTAGGGAGCTTTCGATTGCACGACGAAGGTAGGACGTAGAACGTAATGACGTCACTAAAAGGTCACCTGCGCATGCGAGAACGTTACGGTCACCTCGTCGAGTTGATTCTGGAACGCAATTTGGGCAAATCTACGTATGCAGAGAACGTAGGACCCAGGTAGGACGGTCACGCATGAATGATTCCGTTCTAGCGTCGCGTCGTCGCACAAATCGAAAGCTCCCTAAATGACCATGGCTGCAGAAGGAGACATGTGAGGTCGACCAGTATTTTATATTATTGATAATTAGAGCATGCAAGGTGTACCTTCATAGTTAGAGTTAGAAACATAGGCCTATATTTGGAATGTCTCTTTCATGCACAGCTATACTGATCATATCACTATAGCAACTGATGACTGCTACAATAGTTGGTTATAAAAAACTAAAATTAAATGACGGCGATTGACTTATAAAGCAATTAGTAGAGCATGCATCGTGCACTAAATGGAAAATTATTATACTTAGGTTAGATTTAATGTCTTCAAAAATTTCCTTCGGGCATTGCAGGCCCTCAGGAAATTTGTTCAAGCATCAAATCTAACCTTCGTATAATCATTTTCCTAATAGTGCGCTATACTATGCGGAGCTCTACTAATTGCTTATTAGTTTATCACCCTCGCGCGCATGCCTTATGGTACTGGGAAAAATTTTTTTTCTTTAATTTTTTGTCCTTATATAGTTATATAGTAAATATTGTTTGTATTATCTCAATCATGTTTTACTTAGATATCAATGCACCAGCAAGCAACCCAAGGGTAACATTTAGCTTTAGCAAAATAAAAAAGCCTCCTTCTCTAATCACGTTCCAGCATAGATAGGGCGATGAAGTAATGTTTTTTATAGGGCCTAATTTATATAACAAAAATCTTGATAAAATAGTCTAAAAAATAAGCAGAAATTATACTAGAGGAAAAAAGAAGATAATAAACGAAATACTGATTAACCATTACTGTACGTTATCAAAGGTCGTATTCGACTGGTCGTTCTTCGTTAAATCACGCCCACCTGCGCAGTGGTGAAATCCTACTTAACGAAGACGACCAGTCGAATAGAAAACTGTTAAATACTCGACAAATAAAAATGGCTGCATAGTTACCGCAATACAAGCTGCGTAATCAAGGTTTTTCGTAAACAAACAATTTTATTCAGTTTTTGAATTCTGTTAGAATACAATAATTTTTTTTGACTTCATGTGGGTAAATATTATAATTTTTATTTTCTGAAATTTAATCTAAATTATATTAACGCAAATTTGTTGCTAAATAGGACCAATCGGTCATGTTTGTTTTGGTCACGTGGATCACTTAACGCTGATTAACTCACTCTGGTTAAAGTTAATTTTTGTTGTCAACGTAGTCTATTTTACGAACCAGTCGAATGAAAATAATACTCAACGAAAATTTGTAGTCAACGAAATTAACTAGTTGAATACGCCCAATATTAACAGTTTGTGTAGAGAGCTTAGGAATTTAGACTTAATACCCCATTTTAACAGCATGAACACTACCGGAACAAATCATATAAGAATTACGTAAATAATCAGAATATAAGATTATTATCAACGTTACGTTTAACCTAATCGTCCGAATTAGGCATGGTTTTATAATCATCCATTTTTCAATTTTTGCATAAAGCGCCTTATTAATTATTAATTTAATGTGACAGTGAGTTTTATTTGAACCGCAAGATAGGTCTACCAGAAACAGTGGAGTATCAGGAATTTACAATATAGGGGACCAAGAAGGGACTTTCACAAATGGAGGGTTCTATAAAAACACATACCATTCCAGTCCCACCATGATTATGGTTGAGGTAGGAAAGTTTTATCATTATGGCACCTATGATGGCCGGAGACAAGGGCACTACACAAATGAGTGTCATTATTACGTAACGCAGCATTCATGTTGCGCAATATAAAGGATGGCTCATTTTATACCTCCATGGCTCAAAGTTGGAAAGGAAAGGTGTTTCGGTGATAAGGTTAATGAGATACTAGTTATTTGTGAATTATGCATTTGAGAGCTGACTGAATGCAAAGTGCCGATTGATAGGAAATAAGATATCGGGTATTGAAAGATGATTTTTTTTTTGTTTTGGTGCAAAATATTAATACAGAATAAGAAGCAATCAAACCAAAATTTACAAAACACTGAATCAACCATGATAAACATAATTACGAATTAAACACATTATTATAAAATTCATTATAATATTCTTTATATTTCTTTTTAAATAATTGAATTTTGTAATCTCGTGTTAAAAGTAGGAAATAAGGTTTATCTTTATCTTTGTGTGTATTAAGGGTTCCATATTTGAATGACTGTAATTGATAGTAATAATTATCTATCGCAGTAATGACATTGAAACGATTATTGGTTCAGTTTAAATGTACAATACATAATACTTGTTGGACACATGCAGTGGACCAAGTACATCCATGAAGAAAATCTTCTAGAAACAGTTTTTCTTGGACGCTAGAAGATCGACTCCAAGACATGCATGATATCAGATGGAGGCACACCTGGGTATAAGCATACTATGGTATAGGCCTAAGTAAGTAAGTACACGTCTTGTTTTAGGCTTGTGTGACTAGCATTTGGAGTGAGAGGCTTTCTATTGGAAATCTTGTAATTGTGTGTGTTTGTCTAGCCATGTTAGCTGTATTTTGGTAAGTTAGAGCAAGGAGAATAGGATTGGCAAGAGTCCGACTGCCCTGATTTTGTGTGCACGCAAATGGAACGTTAAAACCAGACTTTGCAGGCGTCAACGTTCCTATGCACGATACATGACTTTATCAGAAAATATAAGGTTGGGTCAAATTTGTGTGGTGGTTTAACGAGGAGTGAGTTTTTATGGTCCAAAATAGTGATTTTTGACCACATTGTTTATGTTATTTGATAGGCAAATTAAGTTAGTAGAATCATAAAAAAAATGTCATTTTGTAGGCCTATGTAGGTATACAGTATTTCATTTTACAGTAGTTTGAAACGATATCGGGGTGGGGGGTGCTGGCATGGCCTGCTAGACAACAATATATTAAACCACCCTAGCAGGCGTCAACGTGCCTATGCAGAATAATAGTGAAGTTATATGAATGAATTTAATACACGAAATATTTTAATTTGAAAACATATTTAGGCTGTTTGCTGTGTTATGCTGCGGTAGCGAAAATGTTGGCCTACAGGCCTAATTAATACATCAACTGTGATACTTTTAAAACTATGAGTTTTCAACTTTCGCAGGGACGTATACAGGGAGGCGCTGCTTCCCTCCTCCTCCTCCTCCTCCCCCACCCCCACCCCTTTGTACACAGTTTACAAATTGCTTCCTTAAATCACTCAGAACTCTTTAATAGTGATCAACAAAACTTAAACTTATGAAGTAAACAGTTTGGGTCAAATGCCTGTGTAAAAAATATATATATAAGGCAAAAATAAAATTACAGTAATATAGCAATATTTGGTTTTATTTCAAAATTATTATTTACTAAATGCAGTATCAATAAACACAATACTTTTTTATGTTAGTACTGTTTGCACTAGTATGTTAATGACACCTTGATATATTCTACAACGGCAATGTGGGCCAGGATGACAAGATTGAGTGCAATGGGAATAAAGTGATGAATGGCTAGTTAGTAAACTAATCCCAAGGGTACCACTAGGCATGTCACTGTCAGCAAAATGAAATGTCGGAAAACTTTTTCTGAAGATGTCTACACACACACACACACACACACACACACACACACACACACACACACACACACGCAAAAAAGTGAATACAATAGTTCCTATTGCATTACATGCATGGGAGCTTTGCATTACATGCAAAGGAAGGTTTTGTTTACTATACAGAAACTTAGTGTGCAATTAGTTTTGCCAAGGAGGTATTAAGTTATTTAATACCTCCTTGATTTTGCTAAGTAGGTCTATTTTATCCCTGTATAGGGCCTGGTAGCTGAATCAGAAAAATGTTGTTCAAAAACCGAGATACTTGATTAAAGATATCGCATTTATACTATTGCAGTTAACATATAATTTTCATTTTAAACTATTTTTACACATTTTCTTAGAATCAAATAAAATTGACTCAATTGATTTTGCAATTCTTTACTTATTAGTCTCTATTTTAGCAGCATCATCTTTAGTAATACTGGTGCACCACAGGGTACAGTGTTAGCTCCCTTCCACTTTTCAGTATATACTGCCGATTACAGAACAACTGATCAAACAAATTGTCTCGCAATAAAATTTGCTGATGACACTGCCATTATTGGGTTGATAAAGGGAGATGATGATTCTGGATATATGCAGGAAATAAACAGATTTGTTGAATATTTTATTGTAAATTTCTTAAAATTAAATGCTTCGAAAACAAAAGAGATGGTGATAGACTTTCGTGTTAAAAAAAGAGTTGAGGCTAGGGAAATAGCAATCAAGCACTCAAGGGTGGAGAGGGTTTCTAGCTACAAGTATCTGGGGTTGTTTTTGATAACTGTCTGTCATGGGGGGAAAATATTGATCATATCATAAAGAAACTCAACTCACGTATTTATTGTTTACGTAAACTGTATTCATTCAATGTCTGTAGTCAAATCTTGCATATGTTTTATTTATCAGTAATTGGTTCTGTTTGGGGGGATTGCTTATGGGCTTGGGGTGGGAATGTAAATAAACTTGATAGGGATAGGATAGATAGACTGGTGAGGAGGGCAGGGAGGATGATTGGGTGTGAGCTGCCCGTGGTGGACTCAGTCTACCGCGAACGGTTGTGCAAGAATTTCTGTTCGATATAGACTGATGTAAGTCACCCCCTTCATTAAGATATTGCCAACTGTTACATTGAACTTAGCGGTATTAGGTACTTCAATAGTAAACATCAGAGGGTTTTTAGTTTGGGTGGCCAGTATTGATTAATAACAAGTTAATTCGAATATATCATAACTATTATTATTATTATTATTATTATTATTATTATTATTATTATTATTATTATTATTATTATTATTAGTTTTATTATTACTAATATTATTATTATTATCACTGTTAGTAAATACTGTGGTTTTGAAATTTCCCCGTAGTGGGATGAATAAAGTATCCTTGTATCCTTGTAACAGCAACTCACATCCAACGGCTGATGATTCCATGTCGGTTACATGAGAAATAGAAGGGGACATCCAATGAATCCATGGTACTCTCAGCATTTTATTTCCATCATAAGGGATTGGTTCCCTTTAACATCTTGAGAAGACGATCAGCCGTGGAGGTAAGACTACATTTATACATTTGTGAAACTAATAGCTTTTTAAATGTTGAAATTAGATAAAAAGTAAAACAGGAATCTATATATGCAGATAAATTAAACACTATTTACAGGTCCTAGTAATATACTTTAAAAGAGTTTGTAAAAATGTTGGTCTAATATAACCGTCTGATAACCGTTCGCATCCATAAAATCGATGGCGTGGTCAAATGTACAACAAATTGTTTGTTTGTTTGTTTTTTACTAGATTTTGGTCTGGAAATACACAGGTGAACAGTCTATACATGACACTATTTTCCACTCTCTTTAAAAGGGTTTTACCTATAGAAGTATGGTTAAAACTGGGAAGGGGAGGAGGACAATTGATATATGTGTTCGAACCTTTGCTGTGTATTTCGCTTGTGTTATTGGACAAGGCTACGTTTATTTCTCTCCACTCAGGCGTATAAATGGGTAGGTCTACCCGGTACACTACTGGGGAGGAAAAAGGCGAAGTGGAAAGGAACTGGCCACCATACAAAACAATGCCGAAGCTTTCGATGGGCTAACAGCTCATTGCCCTACGTTCAGTAATGGATACGGGACTACCTTTATCTTTATACATAGTATAAATGCTGAAAGTAAGCCGACTGGTAGTTTCACGTGCACATACACATTCGCTATGTCAATGTAAAAGCATTGCAGACACACAGTAATGACAAGCAAAGAGAGAATTTTATATATTTATGTATTTTCAGATCCAGAAAATATAGAATTCACAACTTTAGCCTTTAGATTACTAATCCAATAATTGATTAAATATGCCTAAATAGGCCTAATCATCTAATCTGCTTAGAATTGTTACAAAAAACAAGAACAAAAAAAAAAACAAACAACAAAAAAAACAACAAAAAAAAACCAACAAAAAACACACGAAAGCGATAATCTTTATGAAACTGTGTGATTACATAACACGTCATCATGTTTAGCAGACGACGAAGTGATGAGAATGAGACACTTTCGGCGTCAACATGAAACGTTAACACGCATATGTTATGCTGTTTTTGTTTTTTTTCATTGTAAATAAAAATATGTCGAATACGTAAATTAGTACATTATCTTTGTACTGATGTAAATTGTATTGATTAATCTACAATTCAATATTATACCAGTATGACAATCAACACATTTATCAGTCCATGGACCTTTCTAGTAAGCCCCGCCCTTGGATATTGTTGCTAGGATCCCAAAAGACAACAGTGTGAAAATATACGCAAACACGTGCGTTTTTGGGACATGCGTGTTTGTGAGACAGTGCGTATCCTTGGCCCTGTTCTGATTGGTCAGTTGATAAGTTTGATTGGCACTCCGGAAAGGTCCATTATTAAATATTTATAACTAAAAGGCAAAGATTGAAATAATAATTAATAATATGTAACACTAATAAATGTTATTGATTATAGTAGTGATAATAATAATATAATTAATAAATGGTGTGTTTTTATCAATCAATAATACCAAGCATCATTAGTTTATGCTTCCACAGATCCACTTATTTATGAAAACAATACCAACTGAAAAATTATTTTAAAAACATAAATTCGTCTACATTTTAGTACCTTTTGACATTTGTATTTTAAGAAATAGGCCTATTTGTAATCGATTAAAAAGTATCTACAGGCAATTGTTAGGCCTACTTATTTGTAATGGCATTTTTTAATTTATAAATTACAATGACTTTAAATAGAAGATATAATTTGATTCATGTATGAAATGTAATAATTTAGAACCAGATCACCAATATAACTGTATATTCTGTTATTCTTCATGTTTCTTGTATGATGCGCTACAAGACCAATCATTATTATTATTAAATTAGTAAATGTAGGCCTAAGGTTCCCACCATGTGTCCTAGAGCAAATCATTATTCTCAAGCTCCGAAAAACAATATCCACAGGTTTTGCTGCACCATTTCTCGGCATATAAACGATGGGACTTAATTTTGCAGATGTAGCGTTTGCTTGGGCACTCCGAATCTATGTCAAAACAGGAATCTTGAACTGTAAAAAGAAAGTACAAAAGACATCACAAGCTATTAATTTACAGTGCAGTGTATACGCGCATTCTATTGTGTACAAAATTAATTAAACAATAACTAATTTTTAAGAAAATTTGTTTTACTCTCATCGGGATTTGAACCCAAGACCCTCGGTTACCCGTCCGATTGCTCTGCAATGGACGTACCTTTTCGCTAAGCCCGCCTCTTGGATTATAGGTAGTTTTCTTAACATTTAACAGTACATGTCACGCATCGCGATAGCTCCGCCCCTTTTGTAAACAAACGTTTTTTTCAGGATTTTTTTAGTTTTCGCCGCATGGCGTTAACCTTAACTTTAACGTTAGTACCATCATGCAGCGCGATAACTCGCCCCTTTTGTAAACAAATCGAAATACGCATGCGCAAACCCGTAACTAATGTACGTCGAGCACGTAAAATCATGAAATTAACGTACTCGTCCGCAAGGCAAGATGAATAAATTATGACGTCATCCGTTAACGCTAGGGTTAACGGCGTGCGGCGAAAACTGCCTATGTAACTTATGCGCATGCGTATTTCGATTTGTTTACAAAAGGGGCGGGGCTATCGCGTCACGTATAAAAACATGCGCAAACACGTGCGTTTTTATAGAACACGCGTGTATTCCTGGCATTGTTCTGAGTGGTCAGTTGTTAAGTTTGATTGACACTACGGATAGGTTCCTTACGGTCTGAGGACAAGTTGGAATAAGCCTATAGCAAAGATCTTATAAACACAAGATAGTGTTGCGCTATTTTGTGTTTATAAAATCTTTGGCCTATAGGTCTATTCTCTTGAATATTCTATTTAGAACACAATTTCCATAAGGAAATATGCAATGAATCACAAAACTATTTTTGTATAAAGGTGATATAAGCTGTTTTTTTTGTTTTCTTTTTTGTTTTAGTTTAATAAAACGTATATTGCCAATATCTAAATTTGAACCAAAATCCCTCGCTCCCAGTGTACTGTGTTGGATTCCTCCTAAACGTATTCAATGTATATTGCTTGGAACGATCTATTCATGGGGACACACACCAGGTCCAAAAGCTGGAGGATGATAATCTAGCGAGTCTTCCTCCGAGGCGGGTAATAATAAGAAGCAAGTTATCGGTCCGGGTGCTCTGTATAAAACACGATCTGAACATGGAGGATAGTTTAGAATTATAACATTACAAGCCCATGCGTAAAGAGCAGCTTGGATGACTAAAGATACAGTAGATCGTTTATATGTACAGTAGTTGTCTCACGGTTCAAATACATTGGGAGACAAACAAGGAACTAGTCCAAGCTTATACTCAATTTACACTAGGCAAACACATGCTAATCAACATTGATGTGCATTATCGTAGGGGTATAGGCCTACGGACGAAATGTTCGCAGGAGTAGGCCTAGGCCTACGAACGAAATGTTAGCAATGTAACGCTTGCTAAATTTTCCTTATATGCGTCCTGTGTTTGGCCAGAATTGAATCAAGGAATAATTTGTTTAAGTAAAACTAATTACTGGTATGCTTACCTCCTGTTGGTTCACAGAATCCACATGTTCTTTGGCATTTTTCATTTACGAATGATGCAACGTAAGACACGTCGCACATGTCTACGTAATGCGGACAATCTGGATCGATGTCTTCACACGGCGTCACTTTACCTATTTAATACAGTAATTAAAAAAAATGTTATATGTATTTTTTTACATATTAGTAGACTATAAAATCGATTAAATAAGCCTTTGAAACCCCTAAATTGTCGAAATTTTCGGGGGATTCGCCCCCAGGACCACTTTCGGAACTTTTAATCGAAGCTCGACCACGCCCACTTTGCTTTCGTCTGGGAAATCTGACATGCCGTCGGGGGAACCCCCCCCCCCCCCGGCGGGGACCTCGCCCCTCCCCAATTTTAAGGATGTGTTACGTTGCATATGGAGGATCACCATGTGTAGCATAACCACGTGCTCACGTCATAATTGCGCGTCTAACAAGGATACGTGAAGTGCACCACCGCCAATCACAAACAGAAAGCTCTGGGTGTTCACATGTCGATCATCAAAATCATAACGCAAATACGTCGTACTCCCAATTTTACGTAATGTATTGAATAACATAATATTAATTGTTAGACATTAATTAGGCCTACTATTTGCCAGGGGTGGCGCCAGGATTTGCCCGACGGATGGGAGGGGGGGGGGTAGGTGCGGTTCCCCCGACGAGATCTCAGATTTCCCCGACGAAAGCAAAGTGGGCGTGGTCGAGCTTCGGTTAAAAGGTACCGAAAGTGGTCCTGGGGGCGAAGCCCCCGAAAATTTCGACAATTTGGCTAGGGGTTTCAAAGGCTTATTTAATCGATTTTAGAGTCTACGAATATGTAAAAAAATACATATAATATTTTTTCTCCCCGACGAACTGTGCTTTTTCTCCCCGACGGGGTGGGGAGGGGCAGCTCTCCCCGACGGGGGCCCTGCTGGCGCCACCCCTGCTATTTGCATGATGCTCATTATAATGGATGAACATAGTTCATCATATTCATCAACATATCAAATTTAATTTTAAATGACATGTATTCAATGATGGTAAACAATATAATAATGGTCTCTTATACACATCTAGATGTGTATAAGAGACAGGGTTAACGGCGTGCGGCGAAAACTGCCTATGTAACTTATGCGCATGCGTATTTCGATTTGTTTACAAAAGGGGCGGGGCTATCGCGTCACGTATAAAAACATGCGCAAACACGTGCGTTTTTATAGAACACGCGTGTATTCCTGGCATTGTTCTGAGTGGTCAGTTGTTAAGTTTGATTGACACTACGGATAGGTTCCTTACGGTCTGAGGACAAGTTAGGGGTTTCAAAGGCTTATTTAATCGATTTTAGAGTCTACGAATATGTAAAAAAATACATATAATATTTTTTCTCCCCGACGAACTGTGCTTTTTCTCCCCGACGGCGTGGGTGGGGGGGGGGCAGCTCTCCCCGACGAGGGCCCTGCTGGCGCCACCCCTGCTATTTGCATGATGCTCATTATAATGGATGAACATAGTTCATCATATTCATCAACATATCAAATTCAAATTTAATTTCAAATGACATTTATTCGATGCTGGTAAACAATATAATAATGGTATACAATACAAAAAAAATAAAAAAGGGAAAGATAGGTAATATAAAGAGAAAATCATACCAATATTGGGATCATGATTAGAAGTAGAAATTGTCTCATCATGGCCCCATATAAAATAAAGAAAAGTGAAAGGAAAAGGAGAAAACTTATGAAAGAATTATTGGTGAAATTTAAAATTTTGTAATATACACAATGATTTTGTTCCTATTAGTCTACAGATTAATTTTTTGACTTGTTACCTCCTACTGGTATGAGTTATTTTTTGCTAAATATGCTAAAATACCAATCAGCAAACTTTGCACAGAGACAAGCTCAACCGGTATGCATGCACTATGATTTATACAGTTCAATGATACGACAAAATTAAAACATTGTCATTAGAGAAGTAAGAATAATTTCATAAGTGCACACAAAGTAAATGAATACTATTGAAATAAAAAATTTTTACTTGGTCCTTAAACTGCCAGACGAAATCACAAGACCAATAATATAGATTCAGCCAGACCATTCCAAAGCTTGGCAGAAGAAAACATAACTTTCATCTTTGGTACACATGCTGTTGAAATTTATTGGATGATCAAGTTGAGCACACGTAAGTTTTTTGAATGGCTTTTTAGAATTTTGAGCTTAACATGTACATGGCATATATTCTTTTTTTTATTTCTGTTACCTATTTTTCATTTTAAAAATAAAAAATTAAGGTCTATTCAACAATAAATTTGGAATTGGAGGTAAATTATTGCACAACTAATCGATAATCGACATAATTATTTAAAAACAAAAAGCACACATAGGCCTAATGTGTAAATTATAAATTTACAAAAAATTCAATATGAAACAATCCATGCTTGTGATACAAATTGCATTGATATCTCTTAATTCTAAACATGGAGGGATTAGTCTAAACTAATTCCTCCATGTTCTAAATAAGAATTGTAAAGAAGGGTGCATGACTTACCTTCGGAAGGACCTTCGGATGGATCTTCAGAGGGACCTTCGGAGGGAACAGCTACCGTGTGCTAAATAATCATAATAAAAAATCATTAAAACGAACATATGATTCGTTAAACTTGACCAGAAAACAAATACTGTATACATTAACTCTATGAACACTTTATTAGCGAATAATGTATAAAATTGCATAGTACAAGACCTGTCTCTTATACACATCTTTCACAGAATCCACATGTTCTTTGGCATTTTTCATTTACGAATGATGCAACGTAAGACACGTCGCACATGTCTACGTAATGCGGACAATCTGGATCGATGTCTTCACACGGCGTCACTTTACCTATTTAATACAGTAATTAAAAAAAATGTTATATGTATTTTTTTACATATTAGTAGACTATAAAATCGATTAAATAAGCCTTTGAAACCCCTAAATTGTCGAAATTTTCGGGGGATTCGCCCCCAGGACCACTTTCGGAACTTTTAATCGAAGCTCGACCACGCCCACTTTGCTTTCGTCTGGGAAATCTGACATGCCGTCGGGGGAACCCCCCCCCCCCCCCAACG